TGTGTGTGTGCGTGTATGTGTGTGTGTGCGCGCGAGTGTGCGCGTGTGTGTGCGTGCGTGTGCATGCGTGTGCGTGCGTGCGTGTGCCTGCGTGTGCCTTCGTGCGAGTGCGTGCACGCATGTTGTTTCGTCTTGCGTTTTGTTGTTGTTGATAGTGGTGGCAGCGGTGTGGTGGTGTTGTCCTTGTGGTTGTGGTTGTGGTTGTTGTTGTTGTTGTTGCCGCTGCTGTTCTTGCTGTTATTCTTGTTGTTCTTGTTCATATTATACTTACTGTTCTTGTTGTTCTTGTTCATGTTCTTATTGTTAGTGTTGTTCTTGTTGTTAATGTTGTTGTTGTCGTTGGTGTTGCTGTTTTCTGTTGTATGTTGTTTGCTGTTTGCTGTTGGTTGTTTGTTGTTTGTTGGTTGCTGTGTGTTGTTTTGTGTTTGTTGTTGTTGATGCTGTTGCTGTTGCGGTTGTTGTTGTTGTTGCTGCTGCGGCTGTTGTTGTAATTGTTGTTGTTGTTGTTGTAGTTGTTGTTGTTGTTGTTATTGGTGGTGGTGGTGGTGGTGGTGTTGTTGTTGTTGTTGGTGGTGGTGTTGTTGTGGCTATTGTTGTTGTTGTTGTTGACGTTGTTGCTGTTGTTGTTGGTGTTGTTGTTGTTGTTGTCGTCGTGGTTGTGGTTGTGGTTGTGGTTGTGGTTGTGGTTGTGGTTGTGGTTGTGGTTGTGGTTGTTGTTGTTGTTGCTGCTGTTGTTGTTGTGTCGTTGTTGCTGCTGTTGTTGTTGTTGGTGGTGGTGGTGTTGTGTTGGTGTTGTTGTTGTTGTTGTTGTTTTCCTTGTTTTTGTTTTCCTTGTTGTTATTGTTCTTGTTCGTGTTCTTGTTTGTGTTCTTGTTCTTGTTCTTCTTGTTGTTGTTGGTTGTTGTTGCTGAGTATTGTTTGTTGTGCGTTTGGTTGTTTGCTGTGTGTTTGTTGGTTGTTTCTTGTTGTTTCTCGTTGTTGGTCTTGTTCTTGTTGTTGTTGTCGGTTTGTTTGTTTGGTTGGTTGGTTGTGGTTGTTTTCGTTGTTCTTGTTGTTCTTGTTCTTGTTGTCGTTGTCGTTGTTGCTGTTGTGTGTTGTTTGCAGGACAACTTAAGTGGGCTGTCCGGGCGGCGTAGCCTTCTTGCTGTAGTTGTAGATGGTGGTATCAAACGACATGCACGCTGCTTGCGGTGTTCAAGGTGAAGATCATCCAGGTCGAGAAGATCCAGAACAGGAGCCGTGCCGAAAGGTGTCGAGTCACTTGCAACTCCTAAGCCGACTCACTACCAGCATCCTGTTTGTCTGATCTGTTATCTGCAGAAGACAGGAATTTTCTGAAGCGCTACATGCTGCGACGTGAGGAGGTGGGTTACAGCTGTGGGTCGAAGACCATTTGTTCCTGGCCCATTCTGAAAGTACTCGTACTTGGATGTCCGGCTTGGGTTTCGCAGCGCCCTTCTGTTTGGGGCGGAGTCTTCTCGACAGGCCTCAGCCCCACAAAAAAATACCATTGGTGTTGAAAGGGTGGTCAGAACAACACATGCATGGTTGCATCTCCTTTCATGCGAACCCTCAGACATCGAAAGTAGGTGGGCAGCACGAGGATATCCGGTGTCTCTGGGTCAGGTCACGGAGGAGAAAGACTGCGCTTGCCCCAAGATCCGGCAGCTTTGGCTTTGTTCGGAGTCCAGGGCCAGGGCCTTGTGGTTGCTTAGATTTGTGGACCGCTGAAACTTCGGGTTGGCCTTAAATTTCGCCACATGGCCGAGTAGTCACCTCCGTTTGCAGCTGATTGCCTGTCCGTTTTCCGTGCCCCCACAGTGTCCCCACTGGCTCAACCTGGGAGATGGGAAGGCAGTCCAAAATCAACGAGTCAGATCGTACCTCTATATTATACCCATGCCACCTCTGCGACAGACTGCTGCATGCCGTCAAGAACTCCAAATTCCATGAAACGGCCCGCAGCCAAGGGACATCAAGACCCGCATAGACAAGAAAGTCAGCGTCCGTTCCTTCGAAGAGGAAGTCTGCCCATGCCCCGACTCGAAGCTGAACGAAGCGGCCCGTCCAGAACAGCTGGAATGCTGGCCAGGTTGGCAGCAAATGATGATATCACACCTTCCTGGGGCAAGTCCTTTGCAGTCCCAATCTTTGGAGCTTCGTGTTGCTAGCGACTCTTCTCTAAGTGCCATAGCACAGTTGGAGCATTCCTGCTGCTCACGAGCCTTCCAAAAGCTCCGAGTTGCCTGGGAGCAAGAATTAGGGGCTCGGGTTGTTGCACCTCGTAGGCTTCTTAAACCTCTACATTTCCTGAGAGGGTGGGCCAACAGTGGCCACACATCCAAATAAGTCTTACAGCCACAAGAACTGTGCCCTCGGACTTAGGTGCTGCTGTTCCATGGCACCACGGAGGATCACTCCAGGGCTTTGGAATTTGTTCCAGCGTGGACATCATTTCGGTGATTCGGTTCCGGCTGGGTTTCAGGAACTCCTCGACCGCGACTCACATATAGCTCCGGAAAGGTGCAGAAACAGGTGGAACCAGGTGGAAGACAAGAGACTTGCAGGTTTTGTTGAGGAAGTTGCATGAACACATGCCGGTCATGTCTTCGGCGATTTGTTCAAGATGAACTTAAAATGTCGCCGTGCTGAATAATAATAATAATAAAGAGATGGAATGACACTATCTTCCGAACAGGCTCACCACATTCAGGTACGATGTTGGTTTAGAGATAGTGGAATCGTTTTGCCCGTCCATGTCCAACAGAAAGAACAGATCTGACCGCCATTGCTATTCAAGGCATGTTGTTCTGATCAGTGCTCTTTCCCAAAACAAGACGGTGTGTTCACACATTGCCTTGCCATAACGCCAAACCTGGTGGTCTTCCAACACTTCGCCGGCCAATTTCAGCAAGAGAGTCGTCATTCGGACTGTTATGTAGAACAGGGGGACAGGCGCTGTATCGTTCTTGATACATGCGTGTGCGAGTGTTGTCCACTAGCGGCCTACTTACCATCTCCCCCTTTGAAAACCGTCGTCCTGAGAGGAGAAGCTCACTGGAATCCTTCGCTCCGGCTTCGACCCTCGCCTCGCGGGAATGGGCACGGGCGCCATGCTACCCGGCCAGGAAAACAAACCCTCATTGGACTTAAACTTACCCTGTGTGTTTTGGGAGCCTCATTTGCAGCCAAGCGCAGGTTCGGACAAGGCAGCTACTTCGCCCACAACGCCTCGAAGTGCTTCCGCTATGCTCGCCAGGGTCCATTCTTGACCAACGGCACACGCAAGCTCCGACAAACAGTCCTGGTGGCGGCTAAGTTGCACGTGGAAATGCTCTGACTTCCCACCTTGGAGAGGCGCTTCTCGCGCGTCTAAAGACAGGCGAGGAGGGCGAGCCTTGCCGTGTAGGATCGTGCAGGTCACCTCCATTGGTTGTGATGACCCTTCGGGCGTGCGCTGGTTTACAGTAAGCAGCATCATTGTCAAACTGCCAAGGTCCGGGCATTGCTGGGGACCCCGCATTATCAAAGCTCCTTGTCATGCATGATTTGACCCTAGGCCCTAGGTCCCAAACTTAGAAGTCCATCCAGCCTTGGCCCTTCCTACAAAAGCCCATTCAAGATCGCTCATATGCTGATAAATGTCTTACTCTACACCTTCTGTCGTGTTTACGGAGTTGGGAGCTCAACCTGTCATGTGTTCCAAGCATGCTTCACCTCCAAGAAGTCAAAAAAAGCGAAGCCCTGAATCCAGAATGCCGTCAGCTGCCTTTCCTTGGGGGGGTTCCAGTTGCTGGATAGGCGTGCGACATATCTCGCCACACAGCAGGGTGTGGATCGCATCGGCGGTGTACCCGGCTGTGAGATGTTATTGTGTCGAGAAGCTGGTGTGTGTGCTTCGTCTTGCTGTTGTTTGCAGCCTTCATCTATTGCTGTGGAGCTGTAGTAGAAACAGACTTCAAGTGGATTGACGGTTGATGGTAGCGGACTTGAAGACATAGATTCTGGGCGCATCAATGGCGAGCGGCTGCCTTCTCTTCCCAATTCATGCCGAGCCTAGTAATGGACAGGCACTATGTGCCCTGAGCAGCGGGTGCCACCCGTTGGTACAGACTCGAGGATACTCGATCGCAGCCATAACTGTCGTGGAGATGGGCTCGTGGCATTTCATGTTTTGCAATGGGCAGCAGGATCCTGCAGAGGCGCAGGAAGAACTTCTTGGAATGATTAGTGCAAGTCAGGGGCCTGTTTTTCGATTGAGCCGGGCTGGTGGCTTCCAAACCCCTCCGAGATTTCGACGTTGTCTGGAGTGCTTCTTAGCCAAAACCTGCTGAGGATTGCTTTGACGAGGGCAGAAGGTGGATGCGTTGATCATCGCGACACTTTGCCGGTTCACGAGTCTACGAATCAAGCGCAGTGTGTACATCTGCGCACGCACGTGACCTAAATTAGTTCACATTATCTTATATCATTCAGTATTGTAGTGTTTTATACAAATGATCATACATCTTGTGCCTTATATATTTATATCAACTACACTATGAACTATGTAAAACATGTATAATAATATGACATTATACTACATTGTGCTACCCGATATAAAAGAAATGTGGCAACATGTTCAGTTGTTTGTGTCATGTTACTTGTTATGTGGTACTATGCTAGCTGTTTCATTCATACTGTATCATATTGCATTGCATTTTATGTATATATCTATATATATATATATGTGTGTGTGCCCGCGACCTTTAGGGTCTATTTTACTAACAAGCTATGTATACAAGCTAGAATCACTGGTTAAATAGTTTTTACTTATGGTTAGAAATGCATGGCTGTCGGCCGTTCATCTTCCAATG